AATGTCACCCTGTAATGGTTGTAATGTCACTGTGCTGTGGTTGTAATGTTACCCTGCAATGGTCGTAATGTCATTATGCAGTGGTTGTAATATCACCCTGCAATGGTTGTAATGTCACCCTGCAATGGTTGTTTGATACATTGAGTGGGTTTGATGGCCGAATGGTTAGCATGTGCGCGCTGTATCATGAGGTCTTTCATTAAATCAACTAGCGTGGTTTCGATTCCCCTGGTTGTACATGACACGGAGTAGGGTCGCCTGTCCAACCTTGTGGGTTTTCTCTGAATTATTGAAATAAATTATTGAAATAAAATTGAAGTATATATGTTGATCCCGAAATGACCTAGTTTGTGTCGAGTGGACGTTAAACCCCATTTCTCTCTCTCTCTCTCTCTCTCTCTCTCTGTTTGATACATTAATGTTAAGTTACAATGGCTGTTCAGTACATTGTCACCTTGCAGTTGTTGTTTTGTATATTTATGTTGCATTGCAGTGGTTGTTCAGTACATTAATGTTGCACTGCAGTGGTTGTTCAGTTTATTGACATTATCTTGCCTTGGTTTTTTGGTACATTAACATTTTCTTGCAGTGGTTCTACAGTATGCATCGGAAATAAGTTTTTTATTCACATATGTCCTGAGAAGAAATTATGTTCATGTAAGGGATTGTGCAATTTTACATCCATTTGTAGCGTAAAAAATGATTGAACATTAACAAAAAATATATAAAAACAAAGTTTCTTTTGTTCAAAATCACAGTAAAAGAGAGGAAAACTCGTACTTGATTACAATAAGAGAATATTTATTGAAACATCCTGCTAAATGTCTATAAACCAGTGATTGATTTCCATATAAATTGGGTTGTGTTTTTTAAATATATTTTTGCTTAGATCTTTCAATTTGATGAGGGAGTTGAGTGGGATGTGGAAGGCAGGGGCTAAAATGGCAAATTCATATATTGTACGTGTATAAGCTAATAGGTAAAATTCTGTGTACATGTGACCTCAAAACTCTCCATGAGAAAAATTTCATGACACAGTGACATTTATCAAATGTGCACTACATTTATTTTATATTTAAATATATATCACCTATACCATCGTGTATATGGAACATATTAAAAGACAATAGCATACTCTCAGAGTTGCACTTTCTGCTCGCTGATCTTTACCCAGCTTAGATTGCATTGTTAAATTCTAGCATCAAAGTACGGAATGCCTGAGGTGAGGTTTCTTGGTAATGTGAAATGAGATAGACATTAAACAAGATCAAAGCATGGACTTAATTTATAAGTTTACTGCATCACGACATGAAAATGATTGCGTACAAAGGACAGGCATACATAAATTCTCAAGTGCATGGTCTCCGTATTAAATTTACTGAGAACATTACGAAGGAAATTCATTAAATTCAATTATTCGTTTCCACTGAAAGCTTAATCCGTTTCTAGTTCTGTTAATGTAAGCCTTTCATACGCTGGAGAAACGAAAACAAAAAAATCTGGTATATTTATTTGGAAACCAGTCTATATATACAGGCATAGTCTACTGGTTTTGTTTGAAACATAAATAACTGATTTTCATCGGAATTAGTCAAGCCCGATGCGTTCTAAGAAATAACAGCTAAAGACAGCTTGAGTTGATAATAGAATGTTGTTGTAATCCCCTGGGCACGAAGCTTCTACGAGATACGAGAATCGTAAGACATAGGGTAATCGCTCAAATACACATAATTGATTTGTGAATCCATAAACTATGAATAGTAAATGTTGTTGTATTCAAAAAATTTATAAAACAATGATACCCAGGAGAAAATTCTTCGCTATGATGACGTCAAGAGCGCAATCATTGAAACACATTTAAATCTGGCACGTGTTTTAATATTTTATGAGATTTTCTTCAGATAAAATCTGCTAGAATATAATGCTTTGATTTATACAATAATCTGGATTTTTTTTCATTTTAGTAGTTTAGGGGCCACAGTGGATGAGTGGGTAAGACACTGGCTCGCTCTCAGTGATGGCTAAGGATTTTCTGGCGGGGTTTTCCCTTGTCAGTGGTGCAGGACGGATGGCCTAACAAGGACAACTGTCTAGTCGTTTGGATGGGTTGAAAAACTGAGGTCCTGTGTACACATTGCGTGCACGTAAAAGATCCCTTGGCAATTGGAATTCAGTATAATATTAAGCCTTAGTGCCGATGTCCGGGCAAAATTTCTCTCATAGCACACTGTATGGCGTATGCCTGTCTTCATTAGCCCAGTTGTAACAGAACAGTAGGAGGTTAAAGTTGCTAAATCGCTAATATTTGGGACCTAGAAATTGACACAAATGGGTCGCAACGCGTATAATGATGTAATTTGTAGGTATATAAACTGATTTACATTCAATCGTTTCCGTTTTACTCTAATTTCGAATCAGTTGAAATTATGTTCGGCGAAATACGCCAGAAGTCTCAATCGAATGGCAATCTCTAGCATCTAGTTATTCCAGTCTACACTGATAGTATTCATTGTGCATGCTCTCCAGATAAGAATATGGCGTCACCGTTTGACACGACTTATGGAATATGTCTAGCCTCATTCTTCAAGTCCCTTGTTACAAATGGTGCTGAAACGCATTATGGTACATGATTGGTGTACCAATGGTAAAATGTTTATTTTGTCTTAAATATTGGATATCAGAAGCCTGTCTTTTCCCCGGTAAGATCACAACATCAAAGTTGATTTAAATTGACAAATAATTTATGTTTTCAATGTCGAAGACTTTAGATGATATTGAGTTAAAGACTTAGCTTCTTTAAATTGACAAATAATTTATGTTTTCAATGTGGAAGACTTTAGATGATATTGAGTTAGAGACTTAGCTTCTTTAATAAGGATATTTATATCCAGGTACAAAGAAACATACCTGTGTAGATTAATAGGAATGTCAGGAAGAATTTATATTAAGTTAAACAGAGATTGAAGAAACATTACATTGATTATAGTCTCTTAATAGCCTTTAATGATTGAACTTAACATAACACAATATTACATAACATCACATAACCCAACATAGCTCAACACAATGCAATATAACACAACATAATGCAATATAACACAACATACTGCAATATAACACAACACAACATAACGCAATATAACACAACATAACATAATGCAATATAACACACAATAACATAACACAGTTCTATGGATAACATGAAATGAAATGAATTGGGGTTTAAAGTTCTACTGTTCTGCGCAGACTGGGCTAATACAGTGTGCTATGAGGGAAATTTTGCCCAGGCAAAAGGGATTTTTACGTGCGTTCCAGTATATACACAGGACCTTGTTTTTTTTGTCCCATTTGAACAACTAGACAACTGTCCTTGTCAGGCCCTCTGTCATGCACCACTGACAAAGTGAAACTATGTCGGAAAATCCCAATGAACAATCACCATATCATGTTCACACAAACCTTTAAAAAGATTTCACCGTAATTTATGTATGTAAAATAAAGCCTCTTGTCTTGAGGAAGAAATATAGTTTCCAAGGTGGTTTTCTAGCAGGGTTCCTCCTTGTCAGTGTTGCAGGACAGAGAGCCAGACAAGGATAGCTGTCTAGTCGTTCGGATAAGATGAAAAACAGGTTCCATGTACACATTAACATACCCTTGCCAGTTGGAATTCTATACATGTATAATAGTAGGCTGTGTGTCCTCTGGTTTCCTCCCACTGCTAAAGACTCCTACTTGCAAGCAAGTTATTGAAATAAATTGAACCAAAATGATTGTGTTTGTGTTAAGTGGGTGTTGTGCTCCATTCTCTCCCTGTATTTTTTTTTTTAGACCTATTCAGTATAGCAGACAATTTTATCTTAATACCCTTGAATATAAGGACAAATTTTCAGTATGAAAAATCATTGCAATGTCTCTTATAAGATCGTCTGAAGATTTTTTACACAAAACAGTTCTTTGAGAATCTTTATTTGATATGCTTCAAGAAAAGAAAAAGCCTTTATCACTCTATAAATGTGCTTCCAAACTTACGACTAATACTAGAATAAGCTTTATAAAGAAAAGTTTATCTGATAATGTGTGTGCTGCAGACTCTACCATAATTAAAAATAATTCAATTACTTGTAGATCGCCTCTTTTAAATTCTTCAGTTTATTTATTAGTGAGGAGAGCGAAGGCCGTGTTTTATAAATTACGCTCACGGTGTCTTGGATGTGAATGCTATGGCTATAATAATGAGATTTGTGTAAATTTAGCAGGTGCTCTGCTTGTACTGTGATTATGTTTTAGAGAGAGTGGTCCGTCAAACAATATTGATTCATGTCTGACAATTACGGGGACAATTTCCCCGCTCTACTTTACGCATCCTTTTTTTTCTTTCGGTTTTCTAGAACGTAAATTAGATAGTAGATTTTAAATAATTTTGTGGACTTTTCGAGAAAGTATCATAATTATTGATTAGACACTATAATATAATTTAAATATTTAAGTAGAATTTTCTAGAACATGAATAAGATAGTAGGTTTTAAATATTAATAAAATGTAACTTAAATGGTAGTTTTTGAATATTTCTGTGGATTTTTCTACAAAGTAACTTAAATAGTAAGCTTATATTTGAAATATTTCTATGAAATTTCAAGAATATAACTCAAAAAGTAGGTTTTAATTATTTCTGTAGATTTTTCTAGAAACTACCAGTAACTTAAATACTAAGCTTATATTTGAAATATTTCTATGGACATTTCTAGAATCTAACTTAAAAGGTAGATTTTAAATATTTCTGTCGAATTTTCTAGAACATTAACAAAATAGTAAATTGCAAAAATTTCTCTTCACTTTTCTTTTTGTTCAACCCCCATTTCATTTCATTGTACGTATATAAGTTGTTTTTATAACAGCTAGTGTGAAATGATCTATAGGGAATAAAATTGAGTGGTTAAACAGTCCATTCAAGTATTCCATTTTATAATCTAAAATCCAGAGACCCAGAAACTGAAGAGAAATTCTTCAGATGGTCGAAAATCTGACCTTATTCACTAAAACTACACAGAGTTCCTACTTCGATACCCTTAAGACCAATTAAGTCTAATGATAGGTCCCAAGTGTTTTTGATGGCAAACTCATACCCATCTCCTTCAAGCCTGTGTTTTGGATGTGACAAGACTGTATTAGCCGTTATAATCAAATCGGAACAGCTTGCCACTAGTGTCTGCTACTGTGCCAGTGATAGAGGTATTGTCTTTGGCTTTATCAACCGTTATCATCTACGCTGTCGGGGCCTATCTTCCTACTGCAAGATCTTAATTCCTCTTGGTTTACTCCATGATAAAGCTTTATTTATGAGGTGCTTACTAATTACACGTATTCTCCTGTATATAGTGTCAGACTATTGTTCAGCGTCTAATGTATTTCTAATTTTCAGCTCACAAGAATAACTAAAGGTAATTATTACTAGAAACGGAGTGCCTGACATAAAAGTTCCCACTACATAGAGATGGACGCAATTGGAAGACATAAAGTGAGTAGTACCATCTGAAACTCTTATGTGGTGATGATTGAAAAGTGCCATCCATTTAATTGTTTTTTTCTCAGTTTGTGAATAATTCTTCGTGGTTCTATAATTCCTGATCAATTCAAATAGAAAATGGATATTATTATCAAGTGGATGACAAGTTATAACTACCAAAACGGATTAAGCTAGACATCTTGTTTGTTTAATTATTTTGTATACAGATTTCGTGAGGATTTATAATTACGTATATCATATTTAGAAAAAAGGTAAGTGCCTGTTATACAAATTTTTTGTTTTATGAAAATGAAAAAAATTTTGTTTTATGAAAATGAACCAATTTTTGTTTCATGAAAATGAACAAATTTTTGTTTTATAAAAAATGAACAAATTTTTGTCTTATAAACATGAACAAATTTATGTTTTATAAAATTGATTAAATTTTTGTTTTATAAAATTGGTTAAATATTTGTTTTATAAAATTGATTAAATTTTTGTTTTATAAAATTGATTAAATATTTGTTTTATAAAATTGATTAAATTTTTGTTTTATAAAATTGATTAAATTTTTGTTTTATAAAAATGAAGAAATTATATTTTTGATAACGTGTTTTATATAATAATTTTCTCATGATTTAATTTAGATTTCCAGTTCTCATAGATTACTTCTGATAAGAAATTGCCCCATGGTTGATGAAATAAATATAAACTGATGTGGCACTCATATTACAGAAATAATTCAAAGAGTTATTGTTATCACTTTTATCCAGAACGTAAATGTAATTAATGTTATGTAGTATCTTTTTCACAATAACACTTAAGTTAAACGATCGCGATAAATATAAAAAAAACGAACCACTGGCCTACTTAGATGCATCTAAAACATTGAGTTTCTTTATTCCCTTAAAACACTGAGTTTCTTTATTCACCTAAAACATTGAGTTTCCCTATCTCCCTAAAACATCGAGTTTTGAATTTACCTAAAACATTGAGTTTTTGCATTCACCTAAAACACTGAGTTTCTCTATTCCCCTAAAAGATTGAGTTTTTCCATTCACCTAAAACACTGAGTTCTCCATTCACCTAAAAGATAGAGTTTCCCCATTTACCTAAAACATTGAGTTTCATCATTCACCTAAAACAATTCGTTCTCCATTTACCTAAAAGATTGAGTTTTTACATTCACCTAAAACACTGAGTTGTCCATTCACCTAAAAGATCGAGTTTCCCCATTTACCTAAAACACTGAGTTTAATCAGTCACCTAAAACATTGAGTTTCTCCATTTTCAAACATGGAGTTTCTGCATTCCTATAAATCATTGAGTTTCTCCATTCCCCTATAACATTGAGGTTCCCCATTCCCCTAAAGCATTGAGTTTCTCCATTCTAAAACATAGAGTTTTCAGCCCAAAAATTATTGAGTTTCTCTATTCACCAAAAATATTGATCTCCTAAAACATTGAGTTTTTCCACGTCCCTAAAACATTCTGTTAAAACATTGAGTTTCCCCCATTCCCCTAAAACATTGAGTTTCTCCATTCACCTAAAACATTGAGTTTCTCCATTCACCTAAAACATTGAGTTTCTCCATTCACCTAAAACATCGAGTTTCTCCATTCACCCGAAATAACCTAATTTGTGTCGAGTGGATGTTAAACCCCATTTCTCGCTCTCTATCTCTTCCTATACAGAAATGGCATGGGTCAAATATCCAATGGATTTAAGTCCCAGGGCGAGATTCACCTCATATTAAAACTCAAAGTCTACACCCTCACTGTAACCCAGGTATCATTTTATCTTGTGTATTTAGCCCAAATTTATTTCACATTCATTCAATATCAAAGCTCCGTTTGAAATTAATAAGCATTTAATTTCCTGATACACAAGATTGAATAATACCTGGGTTACAGTCCCAATAGGGCTAAATTCACTTCATATAATAGTTTACTGTATCAGTAATGTTTTCATGCACAGAATTCAAAGCACTACCTTATAGTGCAAGAGATTATCCTACTTTCGTTGACCAGCTAATATCCCGACTGTAGGCTTCTATTTCAGTTATTATTGAATTTCAGGAAGTCACTGCTTGTGTTTATACTTGTGTGTATTTATTTTTCCTAAGGGCAATTAATTTAAATTAGCTACTTAAAACTAATTACACTGCACATGTTGTGTATCAATATACTAAATTGGATTTTCTTTCTTTTCAAATTACAAAATGGGCATCCATTATCTGATCTTGCTGACACGTCAGTTCTGTCTGTAGAAGATTAAAAATGAAATGGGGTTTAACATCCTAATTTTCTGCAGTGACTCGGCTAATGAAGATGGGCATACAGTTTGCTATGAGGGACATTTTTGCCTGATCAGCTGTATTACAACCTAATCTTATATCGAATTCCAACTGTCAAGGGATCTTTTACGTTCCCAGCGATAAAATTAACAATCCGATTAAAGTACAGATCTATATTTCGTTCAGGTCAGGGGTCAAACGAGCGGCTTTTGACATTGATTAATCAATCAGCGTTGACGTTTATAGTGGTTGACCCACAGTTCCATGCATCAAAAGGCCAAGAATTCGCCGTAACAGACCGTTTCATTGGCTAACCCCTCACATCATCCAGAACGCGGGTTATATAACAACTCTTCCCAATCGCATAGTGTAGTAAAGACAAGTAAAACAAAATTTTGAACTATAAAAAACGAAACGAAATAGAATCTGTGTTTTAATCAGATTGTAAAATTAAAGGATGTGAACCAATAAGCTTGATCAGGAGAGCAAGAAGATGGTGGGAAGGAAATGTCACAGCAGCTGGCGACCTAGATCTCAAAAGTCCCACTTATGCATCCCTTGCGATCCGATGTGACCTAGATCTCTTAAGTCCCACTTACGCAGCCCTTGCAATCCGATGCGAGAGTGTGCCTCTGGTAATACTGACCACTTGACTACAATCGTAAGCCACTGACCAAGCTGGCCCAAATTAAGGTCAAAGAAACCAAATGAAAACCAATGTGATAGTACAAAATGGTGATGCTATCGTCTAAGTTTCGCAATAAATGTCTTAAAAGTTGGTTCTGCTATTGCGTGGTATGATCTGTTCTTTAAATATAAATACGTGTTTGTTGTCCAGTTGCTATCGACAAAGTCCTCGGCCATTTTTATGTACATAAATGATGTAAAGGAGAGCTGAAGAAAACACTAAATGCCTAAACATTTCGCAAATCTAGTTGTATCCAGTGACAAAACGGCTTGGGGGGTTGGATGGCCGAATGGTTAGCACACGCGCGTTGTATCATACGGTCTGTCATTAAGTCAACTGGTGGGGTTTCGATTCCCCGGTTGTACGTGACAAGGGGTAGGGTCACCTGTCCAACCTCGTGGGTTTTCTCCAGGTCCTCCGGTTTCCTCCCACTGCTAAAGATCCCTATGCGTAAGCGAATGATTTAAATAAAATTAAACAATGTGTTAGTCCCGAAATGACCTAGTTTGTGTCGAGTGGACGTTAAACCCCCTCTCTCTCTCTCTCTCTCTCTCTCTCTCTCTCTCTCTCTCTCACACAAAACGGCTTATGTCGCTGGATATTGAAACACATTATATAAATTTGTCTTATAGGAACTGTGGTAGCTTTTCTGAAGACACTTTTTGGTGAGGGTTGGTGTGGGTATTGGTCTTTGTGTAGCTTCCCTGTTTCAACTCCCTTAGCTATATTTTGGGTTCATTCTCTTAAGATATATTTTGGGTGAGGTGTGGTGAAAGGTGTCAGGTGCTGTAAAGTATACTGAGATTTCCCCAAAATAAAAAAATAAATATCGAATTAAATATGAAAAGTACTGAAAATACACCAAAAAATCCCAGAAAAAAAAAAATGTTGATACTAATTACCTTAAACAAACTCCTAAATACCAAAAAATCAATAAATACCAAAAAACATCACTAAATACCAAAAATTATCACTAATTATCAAAAAAAAAAACTACATATCGAAATACTGAAAAGATAGAGACCTCATTTGGTTTCTACTGTTGTGTAGTTAAAGCCACTGTTTAGTTTCTGGAGCAGTGTTGAGTAATTAACAGACTAATTAATTACTCAACACTGCTGTAGAAACTAAACAGTTATAAACCCAAAACTCATTATCTATCTAAACACCAGACATTTTAAACTACACAACAGTAGAAACCCAATAGTTTTCTATGGTTCTCAACAGATTTGATCAGTTTTCTAACATCGGTTTCAAACTAAACATTAAATACTGAAACTCCTACTAAAAGATAAATGATACCAGGGGCCTGTTTCACGAAATTTTAACTAAAGATAAAATCCAAATTTTAGTAGATAGTTAAATTTTGATTGGCTAAGCACTAAAATCAATCTAGTATTATCCAATCAAATTACTAAAATTTGGATTTTATCTTTGTTAAAATTTCGTGAAACAGGCCCCTGGATTATTGTAGTGGAGGCGTAAATGACTGTCATTCCGTTTGAATTGTTTATATGTATTTCATTGAACATAATTGATTAGAAATCACAACAAATTTTTAAAAATTGATAATAAATCACTTTATATACATTCAAATTACATTAAACATACATTATGCAAGAGCTAAATATGCCAATTGCAGGTATTTCTTTAGGCCTGAAATGTTATATAAATTATTTACCCGTTAAGCGTGACGTTTTTGAAATGTTAACTATCCCCTATTGTTTAATTAATTTGACGAATTGACAAAGAACTATGTACTATGTTCTAAGAATAGGTTGGGGAAAATACCTCCAAGGCGTTATATTACGCCCTACACACAGTGAGTGGCAGTTGTCCAGGACGTAATATAATGTCCTACACATGCTGCGATGGTGGGGGAATTCCAAAGGGATTCCCCCAAGTGACGAACTATGTTCTAAGAATAGGTTGGGGAAAATACCTCCAAGGCGTTATATTACGCCCTACACACAGTGAGTGGCAGTTGTCCAGGACGTTCTATAACTGGTTAATTAGACATTAATTAACTTATCCAGACCATAATCAACTCTCGATGGCATCGCTAGCCTGCAATATTTACTGGATTATGATCCCATTTGATGCTCAACTTCCATTCATAATTTAATCATGAAATGGATGATCAAGACTATGTTTTTTATCGTACAAACTTTAGTAATGATGATCGAGGCTAGACTGAAATTTCAATCGCTTAATTCTCGGTTCAGAGTGGATCAATTTGACTGAAATTTTCAGCAAATTGCCTTTACATTATCTAGTTTTTAACTAT